GTTGCAAGTACCCGATTCAATCCCCACAGCCTGCACTCTTGGATTCTGAGCAAAACCCTTAACCTCACACTGCTCCCCGGGCACCAAACAATAGCAGCCCACTGCTCCCCAAGGGGATGGTTCAATGTAGAAAGAGGATTTCCCCAAGGTGGGACAATAAAAGGATTTACATTACATTACTGACTCTGGGCCATCTGTTCTGAATCGTGACAGTTTCATTTCCACAGAACATTGAGGATTTCATGCAGTTTTAATGTTTTAACAAAGTTTTATGTATCAGATGGTGGAGAACGAGAATATAACAAACTCCTCATTTAAATTAATTTAGCAAAATGAGGCTTGTTTTATATTAATAGTTTTTGTACAGTTTGATTTTGTAAATACAATGTTGTTAAAAGTAAAAAAAAAAAGTATCTGTGGACCAAATATCTAGATTTTAGTAAAATAAATAATAATACTCATGTTAGCGATTACATGTATTTTTCTTTGAAAATACATCAAAGAAGCCGCCCCAATTGAGGTTGGAATTGCCCTTAAGTCATTCGTGTTGGTGCAGTTCACATTAAACTTTATTAATGAAAACAAAAAAAGGTCCAATACTTTTAAATCCTTACAGCAAGAAAAAGGAAAAGGAAAAAGGAAAACAATAGTAGGATGTTTTTCGCTTTGTACAGTCCAACTTGTGTTACACAGTAGGTTCTATAAGTAAGGTATTTGCTGTTTCTTTCACTTCTAAAGTGTCAACTCCCAATAAACATAGCTGATCAAAATTCTCTTAAGGGGACATCAAGCCATGTGTCCAGCCTTAGTATGGATATAGTATGAATCAAGCATTTTTTAGCCCTCTAATCAATGAAGTGCCTCTCTGACAATAAATATTAGCACAGTGTTTGCTCTGCGTCCCTACAAACAGAATCCGGTAATGGGTTTTATACTTTTTTAACTTTGCCGCTTCTGAGAAAAGTAATTCTTACACAACTCAACAAACGAGTTATGAAAAGCAGCTTTGTCGCTGCAACAAATAGTTAGATTACAGCTGTCCAGTAAAGTTAGACTTTTGAACGTTTCACTCCACATGCATTTAAATGAAAGTCTAAAGATTGTTTAAACTGCTTAGGTATATTTTAAAATTGTGCAACTATGTACACAATACTAAGAATTAGTGATTCCTGATTTCTACTACAGACAGCTTTTATCCCATTCAGAATGAGATTGTCCAATACTAAGTCCCATTTGTCAATGACCTCATTTATAAATAACAGGGTGCATTTGAAAAACCTTATCACAACTTAACCTTCAAAACCTGTTATCTTACAATTAGACACATGTATTGGCATGTGATAGGAATTGAAGGGTGCTCCTCCCTTGTCTCAGTGACAGGCTATGTAATGCTGTCCACTATATAACAGCTCTTTTGACAGGATTTTTATGAAAGCTGTTAGAAGCTCTCTCCTCTTTCAACAACCTACAATTTATAACTGCAAAATGGGAAAAGCACATGAGTGTAACAGTGATGCCAGAGGCAAAAAAAATGAGTTTAGTTTGGTCCGGGTTAAAAGTACATGGAAGAGCAAATTAGGAAAAAAGATCAATAAGAATGAGGCTGAATGTGTCTCACCTGCAAAAATGTAAGTATGCCTTTCAATTACTTAGAAAATAATTGAAGCTTAAGATTTTTGAATAGTGCATGCTTTCTGCTGAGCATAGATTTGTTTTGCTGACGCAAATAGGAATTTTCTTGGTCATGAAACACTAAACCTTGCTATATTTATTGTCTGGCACAAGCATGCCGATTTTTACGAAACAAGGTAAGAAAAACCTTCACTAATGAGAAACACAGTAACAGGGTCTGCACAATTGAGTTTTTAAAATAAAAAGATTTAAACAAAACCCCTAAATGTATTTATTTTATGTTAAATAGAGGGGCTCTTAATTGGGTTGCAATAAAGATTCATAAGGAAAAAAATAGCATGATGCTTACAGTACTTAGAGGTTTAATTGTATGAATGAGTATTGCAATTATGAGTGAAGGTTGATCATGGTTTTAATTGAGGTTCTTTAGGATTCATAATCCTAAGAGCTGCAGCACTTGTGGGTTTCAGACCTTTGATAAGAGGCATTTATATTTATAATGTGGAAAAATACAAATACAGCAAAATTATGAATCAAAATCAAGGTATTTGAAAACACTGGCATTCCTAAAAATCAAATTTTGTTAGTTTTCAGTAGGTAGGTTTGAGTTTTTCGATTAGTTAGTTGTTTGTCTTTAGCCTTAAAAAGTAAAGTTCAGGTTGAGAGCATAGGAATTATTTGTTTTATAGCGTTATTTTCCTTAACATAAAAAAAAAAATTCAACAATTTTTAAAGATTCTTTTCCTCTAAAAACTAACAAAATGAATGTGTATCTGTGTAAGTTTTCATTTAAAAAAGGTATCCCTTGTATACCCTACAGTAATCTAGCAGGAAGAATGGGTGTATATTTTTATAGGATTGTTTTTTTTAATTGAAACATAGCAAAACATTTTTATATTCAGAATATTACTTTTAGAATTTACTCTAAGGGAACTAATGCCTTAACTGACAATTTAGGCTGTTATCTCTTGGTTTGAAGGTGTGCCAAGTCCACCCGTAACCTTGCATAAGTGCCTTAGGAAGTCACGATACATTTTGCACGGCTGGAAAAGGATTCACTTTGTGTGTGGGTGGGACGAGGATCATTTGAGTTCATTATTCACTTGCATTAGTACTGAATTAATGCATAGTAAAAAAAAAAAAAAAAGTATTATTAAAGAGGGAAAAAAATACTAACAATACAAAATTGTATAAATATCTCTATAATAACTTATATTTTTACATGACGTTTCACCTTGATTCATATTTTATAAGCTTGGCAATCTGTAATGACCTCAAGCCAGGAGGCTTGAGGTCCATCGTTGTTTGTACTTTGCAAACTCTGTGCTCTTGCTCTCTGTGCACCACATTTAATCTAATAGTGCTATTTATTCAGAAGCAAGAGTGAAAGGAGGTCATTTAAAAATTCTCTCTCCAGGAGCAGATTTCCTAAACCAACAACAACAAAAGGCTAGAGGGGATTTTTTTTTTGTGTAACAAAAAAAAAAAAAGAATTTGTTTATAATAACAAGATTAAATCTGTAATGCAAAAAAAGAAAAACACTCCAGTGATTTTATTTTAAAGCCAAATTAATCTTTACTATACAAAAGTCTACATGAGTGGAATTGTTTTTAGCTTTTATTTTTCAAATTGAAATAATTTTAACTGTTTATCCAAGGGATACGTGTCCGAGGAGAAATATGCAATTATTTAATTCCTACACTTTCCCACAAAGCAACTGTTGAGTTCATAACTGTTCAATAGCCGAAAGGTTTTTTCTTTCTTTTATTTTTTTAATACTCAGTGAATCATACTTGATTGAGGTTGAACTTGGAATAAGTTTCAACTTAAACTGTCAGCTTGTGCTGACATGTTGTGCAAGAACAAAAATGAAGATATTATGCTGTTATGCATTTCCATGTCCCACAGTTATTTGGAATTTGTTCTGCCATACCCACAATCAAGCAGATTGATATATATATAAATATATATCCGCCAGCCTTTGTCAACAAAAGTTTTCATACTAACACTGTCAAGTTGGGGTCTAATCTTCTAACCCACACGCAGAAACACTGAAGAGACAGGAAAAATAGTTAAAAGGTTTATTGACAATGTTTTCAGAGAAATGTGAACGGCGTCTTGGTTCATCAGAGGGAAGGAAGGAAAGCAACTAGAGGAGGACAGAACGGTTAGAGTGGATCCAGGAAACTTTGTGTTTAACGGCGGTCTGGGTTAATACCTGCTCAGGGGGTATTCTGACCGTTAGGGGGGGAACCTTGAGGGTCCAGAGGCTGATCGGCAGGCAGAGGGCTGAGGGCAGAGGCAGAGACGGAGGCTGAGGCGGAGGGCAGACAGGCAGGTTCCAGGCAGCGAGAGTTTTCTCCAGGAGTTGACTGATCACCAGATATGTCAGGATCTGAGAGGCAGAAGAACACAGAGTCAGAGAGTTTCTCAAAAAATCAGGAAAACAGATCAGATTTAGCTGGCTCAAGGTTTGATGGTACCATTACTGGCAGAGAAGTGTCAGCCTCCTCCTCCTTAAAAAGCCTCCAGATGAGCAGATGGGAAACAGGTGTGCAGAAGTCAGCTCACGCCCTCAGGAGGAAGATCTCAGGCTCCCTCTGGTGGAGAAAGGTTGACAAGCCTCAGGATCCCAACAAACACATAGTCTTTGTTGTCTAGCTGATATAACAGTAACAGACCTAGCAAGATTGGCAAAAATAACATTGATCCCACTAATATGAACATTTACAGTTTGAGCTGAAAAACAGGGGCTAGTGATCTAACCTGCTGGCATACTAGCTGCAAGCTTTTTACACTCAAATGATTTCACATCTGATCGCAAATGGCAAGAAAATTTATAACCTAATGAAACCCAACTTAAAAGAAATCCAAACTAGCTCTTGATTTTAGTAAACTGGAAAACAACATCCAGTTTGTTAATAGACCTGCCCTCCTAATTTTTCTGAAATAAAGACTGAGTAATATATAATTAAATGTGTTTTCTCTGTCACACCAACAAATATATATTTTGTTCATCATCCATCCAAATTTTATATTATATATTTATATTATATATAAAGTTAGGTCTAAAAAAAATTCACTTTTTCTGCCCGTAGATGCTGGAAGCATGTCAGCTAGGGCAGCTGAAGCCACAACCACATGATATTATATTTCTCCTCAACAGTTTTAAAGAAAAGAAAATACACAAAATATCATATTGACATTCTGATTTTTATTTCATGGGGGATCAGTGGAAGCTTTGAGCATGTGTCACTCATGTTTAATGGGAAAACAGGGATGAGTCGCTTGGCCCTCTGACTCCAGGCACAGGCTGCAACTGCTGCATCTGAGTCCCTGTGTTTTGGAGGAGGGAGAGGCTCACTCATTAACTCTTCATTGCAGATGGTCAAATAACAGCATGTATTGTTATCAAAGTCTCCAACAAGGCAGGAAAAGGTCACTAGATTTGTAGTTGGAAAAAAAGTCACTTGAGGGGAATGAGAAGGCTGAGTTGACAGCAATGAGACTGCACTTTTTGACATACCTAAAATCCTGAAACACAGGAATATACATCTAATTCTAGTGCCACAGTAATGGTGTTACTATAAAAGGTTGGAAGACTTTTTACATGTGTAGAACAATACATTTATAATGCTTTTAGAAGAAAATTACAGGGCATTTAAATAATGCTAAAATGCAATTTGAAAGAGTTGAAATGAATAAAATAAAGGTCAGTTTTAAAGGGTTAGGTCCCAGACCTTAGAATTAAGGTTTAATTTTACCTGAATCATCCTATATGTACATTATAAATCATATTTTGTGACTCATGTTAAAAATAAGTATGCGTGTCTTTGTTTAACAGCTATGAAAACATCACAGAAAGGGGATCTTCTTGGACTGTGGTCAGCCCAATCACTTTCACTTACAAGGTCACCGAGACTCACGGTTTACTAGACCCAAGCAACGACACTCTTTTGTTTGGCCACATCACCGACCCCCAGCAGTTGCAAGAAATAAAAATATCAAATAAGCCCATTAGACGTTTTTTGGTCATTGACCAAGAGGTCTTTAACATCTATGGGCCAAAGCTCACTGAATACCTCACGGTTAACAATGTTGTGTACAAGATCTTAGCTCTTCCAACCAATGAGGAGAGCAAATCTATGGAAACCGCTCTGAAGATCCTTGATGATGTTAACAACTTTGCCCTTGACCGACGAACGGAGCCAATCATTGCCATTGGTGGAGGAGTTTGTTTGGACATAGTGGGGTTGGCAGCTTCATTGTACCGGAGACGCACCCCTTACATTAGAGTCCCCACAACTCTTCTGTCTTACATTGATGCCAGTGTAGGGGCAAAGACAGGGGTAAACTTTGCCAACTGCAAGAACAAGCTTGGGGCTTATATTCCACCTGCTGCTGCCCTCCTTGATTTGTCATTCATAGCAACGATTCCAAGAAGACACATCTCCAATGGGCTAGCAGAAATGCTAAAGGTAGGATTTTCTTTATCTTTTTCTGTACTCCTATTTTATTTATTTTTGTTCGAAAACTGCCGTTAAAGGACTTAAATTGAATTTAAAACTGACACATTGGGTCTTCTATACTGTAAACAGACCAGAGTTTTTCATAACCCCTTGGCCTTTTATGCAGGCGAGAATACACTCTGAAGAACCCTGTTAGAGACCAATCAACAAGACTATCATTTTCATGGTATGTTAAAAGAAAAGAAAAACCTGTATGCTAAAATTCACTTTTTTACAAACCAAAATCATCAATTAGTTATCCTGCCCCTAAAAGCAGCACGCATATAATGGTTATCACTGTTTTATTAATCCAGTGTCAGATTTATTGTGAACTTGAGACAAAAACTTGAGCAAAATGTTAAATAAACACCTCCTAAACTCAGTGATTTTTAAGTAAATCACATATTGCATAGATCAGTATTCTCATTAGAGCATTTCCTTTTTTTGTAGATTAACCATCAAAACCAGCACATATTAGCTTATATAACTAGACTTTTACAATTGTTGAAGTTTGCCTGCCGTTAACCCCTAAGCCACAATCCTTTGGATGTCACACAATGCAAAATATTTCCAGAGCCAAATATTTCTGTCCAGTATGCTGTATGTAAGGGGGAGCTTTCTTTCACAGCCAGCTGGCTGGCAGTGTGCTGAAATAGATTGTTAAGGGGCAGTTATTCATTCAGCCAGAAAAAGTGCCCTTTAATAAAAAAGTCAAAAAATTATAGGAGTTGCATCATCAACCTTTTTGGCAGTTTTGAAACAAAAAGTGTGTTCAAATCTTATTGTTTTTAAAGCTTTACATTTGCCTCTATTAATAAACTAAGCCCAGTAAAAGTTTTGGCTTCGAGTTTCATTTACTTACTAATAGTTTCTTTAAATGCAGATGGCTTTGATGAAACATCAAGGGCTCTTCGAGCTTCTCGAGGAACATGGCTGCATGCTGTTAGATACAAAATTTCAGACTGACAGCACTTTATATGGGCACAGCAACACTGATGCTGCATCACAGACAACCCGTATAGCTATCACAACAATGCTGGAGGAGCTTGCCCCAAACCTCTGGGAAGATGATCTGAACCGCCTGGTGGATTTTGGCCACCTCATAAGCCCAGCATTAGAGATGGTAAGTTCTAATAACTGACCAATCTGCATCTTTCAATGTTTTTAACCCTAAAATATGTAGATTTCGATTTTTAATTGGCCTTATTCTCTTAGCAGTCTGCAGCTGTATGATATAATTATTCTTATAAAATATCCACTGTGATAGAAATTTCTGATTTGTGTTTGCTTGGTAAGGTCATTTGAATCAAACTAATTAAAATCCAAACAGTTTGTTAGGCTTGAAACAAACAATAAAAATAGATTTGCATTAGATCAGTGCATTGACCAGAATTTCACAAAAATTATCTTGTTGATATCTTTAAGCTGAACTGAAATAGAAAGAGCTGTACTGTACTTAACTTGTAATTTGATTATTTATATATAGAACTTCTAAAAATAAGCCTATATTTCATATAAATGTAGTTAAATGATATATAACGTTTTATTGTGGGATTGTAGATGCCTTTATTGGTTTTTAAGACGTATTTTAAAGTAGAGACATAATTTAGAAATAAGAAAATGTTCTTTTCTATACTCACACATATCAAGCAAAGCTGCCTGGCCAGGGATTTAAGGTAGAACATTGAAAAGTATTAAACACCTTTCTGTTTTACAAAAAAATGTCCAGAAATGATGACACTTAGTCGTAGTATAATTTGATTCAGTATGAATAGATCTGACTATTTCTTTTATTTGTTTTTTTAGCTGAAATAATGCTGGTGTGGGTCAAAATCCTATATAATTTGATTGCTTGAATAATAAAACTGGAGCATGCTATGTTAAATAAAACCACTTAGTGAAACTTTACAGGTTGATGGAAGAAGTACTTGTCTTTCTGTAAATGTCACTGAACAGCCCAGCAGTAGGACAACAAAACACTCTCTGTGGGCTTTGAAAGACAAACTTCAGTATTTTCACAAATGCAAAATGTCAGTTGCTTGGCATAATTGATCTTTTTTCAAAAACAACTACAATCACACAGTGGCAGAACCTCTCTTGCTATTTAGCATCAGTGAAATATGAATACAATAATGTTTGCTGATGTACAGCTCATCAGGTAAGGGTGCTGTATTGATAACTAGTTAACCATATTTTAATATATATAAATAAACAGAATTTAAATGTTGAAAAATGACCATTTAAGTCTAGATATCCTTCAGCTTCTCTTGGTCCTTTATGTATAATGTTATACTTCTATCTTTATTTCAGAAAGTTCTTCCGTCCTTACTTCATGGTGAAGCAGTGAATATTGACATGTCTTATATGGTATACGTGTCCTGTGAGAGTGGCCTTTTAACAGAAGAAGAGAAGCAGAGGATCATCAGCTGCATGGTTGGCCTGGAGCTTCCTGTCTGGCATGAGGAGTTCACTATGGAGCTGATTCAGAAATCTCTGCAGGACAGGCTTAAGCATTCTGGTGGCCTGGTCAGAATGCCACTACCAGTCGGTTTAGGGCAAGCAGGTAAGAATTCAAATATCGGCCCAAACTATTTTTAAAAGTTGCCTTTGGTTTAATGTTGTGAATTATAGTTTGTCCTTTTGTTTCCCTTTGCAGAAATCTTTAACAACACTTCATTTGATACCCTGCACAGAGCTTACATCAAGTGGTGCGAGGAGCTGAGTGTCTCTTCTGACAGCACCTGTGATGTTTGATTTACACATCCTTTATCTGCCTCAGGGCAGTTCCAAAAAAATGTACTTTCATTTTGAGATGTAAATGTAATATACTTTACTCTGCTGCTGCATGGTTCACTTGGATGGGTAAAAAGGTGTTGTAGTTAAACAGCAAGTTTAGAAAGTATGTCTTTCGTATCATGGCCACCAAGGGCAAAGGGTTCTGCTTTATTTACATTGACAGTATTTCTATTGAATGGCTTAGACTGAGCTCCATTCCATCATTCATAGAAGCCGTTTTCTTTAAATAGTACATTGAGTTGATTAAAACGTTAATTTCTTTATTTTTATGATGGTGTATGCGCAGAAACAAGATAATTTGCTTCAAATTTGCTGTGTTTAAATGCTTTTTCCTGATGTCAAGTATACTTTCATACAACAATAAATACTTTTTTTTAATACCCAGAAGTTTGTCTTTTGTGATAATGTGATGAAATATGTTGTGCAAGTTGGGTAGCAATATATAGCCATTATATGTTGGAGTGAAGACAGCAAAAATAATTGCATAAAGTGAGGAAGTATCACAGAAATTTAGTGTGACTTGTCCATTGCTACCAATTGCCTCTGTGCGGGTGGCCAGGTTCACCTGCCCCACGCACAACAGGACACAGACTGTTTGGGATTCTATCTTCCTGAGAAAATTATGGAGGCTGAATGGATCCACAAACTTTTAAGATCAGTTCCTTCCTTTGCAGCTTTTAAAACCAGATTCTGATTATTTACTTATTTTTCAGAGGTCTAAAGATTTCTGATGTCTTAACATTTTGTAAGACTCATAATTAAAGTGTACATAGATTTAGAGGCTGAAAATGGTGTATGTAAAAAAATAAATAAATCTAGATTTATAAAAACAGAGGTTTTAGAGAGGTGATCTAGAACTCAGTGACCAGCTTCAGCTTTCTTTTTTGTTACATTCTCTTAGCCCTTGAAAATTATATTCTTATAAATAATACAGTTCCACCAACTCATTCTGATAGACGATGTAAAATTCTTGAAAGGAAAGCCTTTTTTTTCTCCTGGGGCATAATCACAGGGCTGTGTAATCTCAAACTGCTCTGTAATTCTCTCTGGAGAGTTGGCACCACCTGCTGTTTATTTCCACAAGTGTTCTCAAACTAGTAGGCTGAGGCAAATACAGTTTATCTTATCATTCTCACAATCTCAGTTAAAAAATGTGATCTAACTGGACTAAGTCTATGTTTACCTGAAGGGCTTTTCTTGCTGTCATAATTGATTCATCGAACTTCTGTTATTGTGTTTTCGGGTGAAAAAACTCTGGCTAGAGTTAGGTAACCAATTGCGAAACATATTAGGAATAATCCAGAAACTCTGCTTTACAAATAAAAGCCCCACAGAGTCAACACTTATATATTTTTTTCCTTTTTGTACAGCCCTACTGGCCCTTAATTTGAAAGTGGTCTGACAAGAGACTGGGTCGAGTGAGAGGAGGAGACATAGATTAAAGATCTTTAGTTCAAGACTAGAACCAGGTTGTCGATCCATGTGCCATCATTGCTAAAGGTATCTGTAGTAAAGGTTTTTGACTGGATTTAGAACTGGACTTTGGCTTTGGTGACACTATGGGATCATTTTTCTTCCTTTGAGAACTTGACTGTGTGCTTTGGGTCAACTCACACCAATATGGAGCACCCTGGAGGAGACCTTCTCCTAGGATGTCGCTGCCAGAGAGGTATCCTGAGAGTCTGCCATTCCTGCTGCTAAAACTGAACCCTATTGAATGATGCTACCACTATCATGCTTAACTGTTTGAATGACATCATACCTGGCATTCACACCAAAGAATTTATGTCTTTATCTCACCAGACCAGAGAATTCTGTTTCACATGATCTGAGACTCATTAAGGAAAGGCTTCCATCCGGTCATTTTACCATTTAGGCCTAATTGGGGGATTGCTGCAGAGATGGTTGTAATTCTGTAAGGTTATATTCTCTCCACGGAGGAATGCTGGTGCTGGATTCTCGTCTAAAACCCTTTTCCCATATTGCTCTGTTTTGCCAGCTCTTATAGGAATCTTGCTGGCTCCAAACGTCTTCCATTTACCGTACCAATGGTGATAACTCTGAGCAGTATTTCAGTATCATTCCCCAAATTTGTGCCTCAAAAGAATCCTGTCTTTGGAAAAAGATTTTCTATAGACAATTTCTGGAACTTTTGCTTGGTGTTTGCACTAGGACATACGCTTTGAGACCTTAGACAAGTGTGTGTCTTTCGTATTTATTTCCAATCAACTGTATTCACCACTGATGGAGTCAATTTAAGCTATAGAAACATTTCAAGGGTAGTCATTGAAAAGAGTAAGCATCATAATCCAATATGTAACCTCATGGTAAAGGCTGTGTTTGCAGCAATATATATATAAAAAAAACTTTTTTTATATAATAGTGTAAAGAATTTGAGCGAAATATGTTAATATAATACCATTTGTAATAAGGCTGTGACATCACTACTTTAAAAACTTCAGTGAACATTTTCCTGGTGCATATCTGTATGCCTTAGTGTGTTGGCAATAATACTGACATTTACAGATGAGCAATTAATCATTGCTGACATGTCTAAAGCCTATGATGTAGCTTAACAGCCTGACCCTCCTACAAATCCATCCTCAATTTCTCTGCTTTATTTTTTGGTCTTTTGGGGGGATTTTTTTTATTTTTTATTTTTTTTAGTATCTAACTTTTCTGACAAACTTTTAAGGCCCTTTATTCAGAGATGTGGATTCAATAAGTCATTCCCATGCAGTGTATTGGGTTTGTCTAGCTGCTGAACCAGGTAAGTCCAATCTGCACAATTTAATTCCTCATGCAGATTGGACCCACCTGGTTCAGTGGCAGGGGCAGAATAAATACATGATATAAAGGTGACTTGTAGCATCATATCTCCCACCTCTGCCTATGATAATAGGTTGAATTTACACTGAGTTTAAGACTCCATTCACACAGAGATAAGATTATTCGCTCCCAAAGACATTTGTAAATTACAGCTGTGCATTCAAATGGAGAAAAAAAAACTACACATTTTTAAAAACTGGATCTGAGAGCAGGTGAACTGCAAAATCCAGGTCTTTATGTTTCAGTGTGTATGTGCAATCTGTCTTTTTTTCAAAGATGGCTCTCTCTAACCTGTATACAACCATGATGCTGTATTTACCAGCTCACATGAGCTGCCTGAGCCGTGTTCATGCCTGTTGTTTTCCTCAGTGTTTTTTTTTTGTGTGTTTCTGTGAGCGTTACGGCGCCACCAAAGGGTCCGGCACATGTACCGCAGCGTTTTCAGTTTTTCCATTTGTATTTTATTTCTAAGTCATTCATAATAGGATTTGATGATCATCTTTGTGTGGACTAAGCCTATTAATCTGGGGGAATGTTGTGAGTTCATGCATCCCTGGATCAAAGGTAGCCTATAGAACATCAGTGCTCTGCCATGAGGACATCCTTCTCTGAGTTACCTCATTTTATTTCTTAATTTATGACCAATATTTAACCATCCACCTGCAAATAAAGAGTCCATGCTTTATGAGTTCCCCAAAATGTCTAATTATTATTAGTCTATTTATTAAACAACATAGCCATGTATCATCTGCTCAAGCATCAAACTTGCTGAGGGGAGTAAAGACCTTCCAAAGTGCTGCATGAGATTAAGTGATGTCATTTTTGGGTCATTGCACAAATATTAAAGTGTCGGTTATGTTCATTCTGTAGTGTGCATGTGCAGCTTACATTTTAAAAGGTACCGAAGCCACTGTGGGATCATTTTTTTTACAGCTTATGTTAAGAGTCATTGAAATTAACAGCTGCCAGCACCTCTACTTTAAAAGGCCGTATGGATAACTGATTTATTAAGATTGTTTATACAGATTTATGTTAAATTATTGATAATTTCAAAATGATTAGATGCAATGGCACAATTTATTGCAAATCATCTAAATATGACCAAATATGGACAAGTGGTATCTGGAGGGAATAAAAAAAATTAGCCTAAATAAATGTCACATAAAAACCTTTTACTAGGTTCTTTGTTTGATCGGATTGCCTGATAATTTGCAGAAGATCAGGCAAATAAGGAGTTTACACATTCCACATGTACAAACACACATATAAGCCTTATCCTGCTATTTCAACAACATGACACTTATATTATGCACTTTTATGTATAAAGCATGGTAGCTGTCTTAAAATCAACAGTACAACAGCTCATAAATGCAAATATTAAATAACAAGGAACACTTCAAAATTAATTTAAGTTTCCTGTTACACGTTTGTCAAGTATTTTCTAAACAGTTCATAAAAATTAAATGAGAAAGTAAAAACACCAGAGAGAGCGTCTTAAGAGTCTTGGCTCACAGTAATATAATTACATCAATGAATGAAAATAAAAAGACTTTATGTAAAAACTCTTTTAACATGAAATTTACCAGAGAGTTCCTTTATGCATAAAAAAACACTTATGACATAGGGCTAACATCCATGATCTTTCTCGTCCATACTAGAGCTAGAACTGTGGCGGCTGCTGACATTGTGAGAAACGTCTGGGGACATGGAAGACAGGAGGGGGTCACTTGGGGAAACTGGCCCCAGGCTGTTGTCCCTAACCAGCTCTTTCATTTTGCAGGTCCTAGAGTTTCCGTAGGAGTCCCCAGCATCTGCAGGGATGTGGTCAAAGGTAATGGTGCCATTGTTGAGGTCCAGCGTAGTTGGTGGAGACATTTCAGGCGTGCAGTTATGCTGGTAGATGTCAGATGGACAGTCCCCAAGAATGGGCTCCTGTTTGATGGCTCGTGCCATAAGCTCTGAGGTGCAGACTGAGGGGGATGATACCACTGTGAGGCCATGAGCCCGGGCTTGGATTTCCAACTCCTAGGCAAAAAAATAAATAAATAAAGTTGTACATTAATCAGTTGCATATATTTCTAGATTAACAAAAACAAATACCTTAACCTCTCCATTCGTTATCTCTACCTGCTAATTATCTTCTAATCAGGCTCACATGGAGCTGCCTATCACCTGCTTTTATTGGGTGACAGGAAAGGTACAGTTCCTGCCCAATGATTAGCAAAACCTTTAGTGTTCAGTGTATTAAGATAGTCAAATAAAGATATGGATCCACTATCTAAGATTTAAAAATCACACAACATTGCTGGTCATGGCAGATTTAGAATGTTATTTAGAAGACATGTTAGCGACAAACCAATGTCTGTCATTTCGGCCTGAATCCATTTAAAGAAAAGTATCAACGTCAAAAGAGACCGAGACTTTACAACAGGACATGAAGTATCAACCAACTTCAGTAAATTCCAAGCTAATTTATGTAAAGGTATTAATTCAAGGAAACAGAAAGGATAATGAACTTTTAACACATATGCTCAGCAAAATTTGCTCATCCCACAGGAGCATGTAGCAACTGTGGACAGTTGCTTACATTGTGTTGTTGGTTTTGCAGCAATTCCTAACCCTGAGCGTGCATGCAGTGACCTTAGAGAGGAAAAACCTCCCTTTTAACAAGAAGAAACCTCCAGCAGAACCAGGCTCAAGACCCTAAAACTATCATAACAAATTTGTTTTCTCATTTCATACTACCAGACACCCCAGACATTGCATTGATCCCTGTGTGTCTGTTAGAGCTCTGTGTTGCTCCATAAACTGCTTCCTACTGTCCGACAATAAGTTCTTCTAAATGTTGCTGCCATTACAGGTAAATATTGGTAACATCAAACATTTGACCAGTCAAATAACCAAAAGACAATTCTGGCAGTTTTTTACAGACAGTTTGATCACTCACTGACTTTAAATATTTTTAAAAGATGTTAATCATATGTGTCAAACTCAAGGCCCGCATGCTGAATGCAGGCCACCATGGCAATGTCTCTGGTCCAAAGCTGCCAAAAAAGGCATACACGTAGAATATCATAGTATAGAAGCATATGTGCTGGTAAAGTGTACACAGTGGCTAAAACTATTAATACCAGAGCAATATTCTCTTTGTAAAAAAATAAATACAAAAAAATCACCAAATAAAAATTTCAATTTATAAAGCATTTTAAAGACTTAAGAATACTGATTTTGTCTGATATATAAATGAGAATGAGCTTCTAGGGCAGTTGGTTGCATTTAATATCATTTAGGCATATAAGAGTCAAAGGAAAACAGTGAAATTCATGCCCAAATCTTTAGTTTTTTTTTTTCAATAATAATAATAATAATAATAATAAATGAGATGACACCTCTGATGTAAATGTTTCTACAGCAAATAAAAAATCTTTATCATGTTGTAGATGAAAGAGGGTTTTCACAAACGTATAACGCAGGTATTTTTAGGTCTATTATTACAATTGTGAGCAGCACCTACAGTAGTATGTGTTTATTATTCATTTATGGCATTAAAAATAGGGGAAACTCCTTAAAATGATTAATTTTGTGCCTAAATATAAAATCCTGAGCTGGGTTACGATTGATGCATTGATCTGTTTGGTTTTGTTGATTATCAATTGAGTTTAAAATCCTCCTTTAAGTGATATTTGCCTGTTGTGGGCAACAGTCACACCAGCAACATTCACAAGGCCGACTTCACCAGAATCCGACCACCAGGGACACACCTGTATACGAAGCATCAGATGGCGGTTAGCATGCTCCAGTTTCCTCTGTCTGCATTCGAGCTCCTTGGCTCTCTCCTGCTCCCGCTGTAGCTTCCTGATGTAGTCCACAGAGGCTTTCAGAATGGTGCCCTTATTCCAGCGCATGTCTCTGGGGTATGCATGAGACAAAGATCTACAGTGAGACACAGCTGACCAGCTGACCAGAACAACACAGGATTCTTCATGGATCATCTGGGTCAATAAGTTATGCACTTTAAGAGTACAAATGAAGAGGAGAAGGTTACAAACAAATCCACTTTAGAAAAACTCCACAGGCAGATGGATAAATGTCAGGGCACGTGGAGTTTGCTTTCAATTAAGTAATGCTAAGTTTTTCTAAAAGTTACTTTGGCACATTAAAATATGTGAACATGAGAAGAAAGAACTAATGATTTAGTAACCAAACATGACCTTAAAATTTAGTGAAAAACATCTTTCATACAATATTTTAGATTTAAAAAAACGATCATTTTCATTTATTTGAGCATTTTGCTTCATAATCAGTCGATGTACACAACGTATTCACCAAATTATTAAAAAAATGTCAGGCCAGGATTTTGAAAAGGCTTTACAAAAGGGTTAAAAGGGTTTACACTGTTTTAAAAAATGAATTAAACTGATAAGTGCAATTTTGTGGCTTGCGCGTCTGATCATTCCTCGAGTCACTAATCAGAAAAAGTGGAACCTTCTTTGGTTTTAATAAGTGTACCTCTTATGAGGGTTCAAAAAAAAAATTACTTAACTTTTTGCACATTCTCCTTTCTAAAAATCTAAAGCTCAGTTTGGTTGGACAAAGACAGCAAGTGTACATTATAAATCTATAGAATAGAGTAGAACAACTCCAAAACATGAATATGCATTGAACTAAATATTTCAATTTTAGTTATGACTTAATTTTTACAGCGTCTAATACTGCAGGAGAGAAAGAGCCCTTACAAAGTGAAGCATTTTGCACGTACACAGTAAAGACAGTTTTAGTCTTATCTGATCAGAGCCCCTCCTCCCACATGCTTGCTCTGCCCCCTACATGGCTTTTGGGGAAACAGACTTCAAATGTTTTTTTGTCTCGCTAACTACTTGTTTTCTTGTTAAACAGCCTCTGAGGTTTTATAACTTGGTTTAAACCTTGTTGTGCTTTTAGGGCGGTTGGTTGCAGTTAATATAATTTAGGAATATAAGAGTCAAAGGAGAACAATAAAATTCATGCCCAAATTTTTAGGGTTTTTTTCAATTAGAAAATGGCTGTAAAGTATTTGCTTTTCCTTTTGTTTCTTTATTATGCACAACTTCATGTTGGTCTGTAACATTGAATCCCAATTAAAAGCTTCATACAAATAAAATAATGTAGAATATGAATACTATTACTGAACTCTCATTCCAAACGCAGAAAAAATACTTACGGATCATTTGACTTCGGTATCAAGGTTCCCAGCTCCTTTATGCGGTCGTTGATGTTGAACCTCCGTCTTCGCTCAACTAAAATTTGACCAAATGAATGATCATGCAAAGACATTGTTCAGCAAAAAATTTATCTTAAACCATTTTACCATCTCCTCATTATGGACAGAAATATGATAAAACACATATAAATCCCCTTTCAGGTTATTAGAATGGACTTACTCAGGTTGTGATTGTCCTTCTTTTGTCTTTCTTTAGCAAGGGCTCGTACTTCAGCCTCTGTGGGATAAAAACAAAGGGGGGTTTTGTCAACTTTTTATTTATTTCTTAATTACTTTCAACATATGTTTATCCACATTGATTAACAGGGGGAAAAAAAACAGAGTTTAGCTTTCAAGTTTTTGGAGGTAAATACAATTTTTTTTTAATTGTGTGCGATTTAGTCGTACACAAAATACATGATCTGATGGGAAAACATTTTATTCTTGATTCGCTTACCTACTGGAAAGCCGTCTGGCCTTTGATAGCTTTCAAACTGGCCACAGGATCCCGGCTTGTCCAGTACTTGCTTCATGCCAGGAGCTGGAGTAATTATTTGGCAAAGCATTGACTTAACAGTATTTTGTGCTCTTCCAAATTGCACACAATGTTCACTTAAGTCCACAGTAATCATTTCATAATAGTTTTTCCTATGTAAAAGTGATTTTACTTCTTTATATGTATGTAGCTTCTCTGTGGCTATCTTAAATCACAAGGTGAAAGGAAACAATCGGGAGAACATGCACTCGGGTGTCCTTGTTCAAAGCATGGTACTAATGAAGTTTGTATGGGGTTCCTTCTTACCTGTGAATTCCCTTTTGATGTTCGGTGCACATGAGTTGCCCATGGAGATGCCAGGGAGAGGAAGGCCCTGGTTGTTGTACACATCAAGTATATTACCAGACACAGGGAGCTGGAGGTCACAGATGTTGCATTAGTTTTTTCTAAATCTAAAAAACTAAAAAAGTAAGGTAAAAGTAATACCGGATTGTTGATTTGAAAAGCTGGGTCCATCAGTCCAAGCACATCCTCATTGTAACTTGACTCTAAGCTTATAATATCATCAATGACATCATCCATCTGTTGGAGTGAGAAAATATATAAGTAAAAGCTTCCTTAATTGGAATGAAAAGAAATCATCTTTAGGGACAATCAGTCGTACTTCTTTTTCACAGTTGGCACCGAGTGTTAGAAGGGCCATGGGACTGTTGGGTGCGCTGCCAGCAGGCCCGGGTGGCATGCTGTGCTCGGGGGGCTGGCTGGGACACTGGCTTCCAGCTTTCCCACTTAGACTGGAAGAAAGATACTGTCTCACCTGCCCTCTCTGAGACGGCTGGATGTGGTACTTGGACGGACTTTCCAGGTGGGACTGTACCTACCAAGAGTATTGATATATAAACATTTGGCTTGCTTTTTTTTTCTTAAATGTTAAGTTTGTTTTAAATGTGGATGATAATTTGGTAATCAAATGTTATAAATGTCAATGTATTTATAAATTCTTCTTTAGGATTCTTTATTACTGGTATATACCAATTAGAGAAACCCCATTATAATTCCTAGGAAACTTAAGGGACAGTTATTTCAGAAAAAGATGAACCAAAAGTTTGTCTTTACACAAATACTCTTGCAAAGCCTTTAGGTTCAATCACATGATCTCTGACCACAAAAAAGGCTGCTTCACCCCGCAGCAGCTGTATAGAAACTACAACGTAAACTTTTCCATTAAATGTTAGAAATCATTTCAGAGTGTGTGTACCAATGCATAAGCATCATCTTTTAAGTTTATTTTATTTGCATTTTTTAATATTTCCTAACATTATCATAAAAAAGGTACATAAAATCTTACCTGATAGTGGCTGTATTCAAGCATCTCCAGCATTTTGTGATTGTGAAACAAAGAAAATAATGGTTTAATCCCTTTACGTTAACACCTCCTTGCTTGGCAGGCCAGCTGTTGAAAATCTGACAGCAGACTTTTAGTCCTGCTTTATTTATCCTGGGAATAAGCCTAATTAGTTATGCACGTTAAGGAATGGAGGAGGACATCAAGACTCATCCTCCCATCTTTGTGTTGTTCCAGATTAAACTATGAATTTATGTCTTTATGGAGCCCATTTGACGTCACAGCCTCCAGCTCACAAAGGCGTCTTTCTGTCGATGGGCCAGTGGTCTGCAAACTGAAGTTTGCTTAAGGCCAACTAACATTTAATCTTTAGTTCTGCTCATCTAGTATAAAACATCATTTGTTCTGAGCGCCAGAAAAACAATTCACACCACTGTCTCCCGACAAACAAGCCAGATAAAAGCTCAGTAGTATACGCCATTTACAAAATTCTTGATCACTTTTTGGACTTTTACAGGTTAAATATGTTTACTTGTCAACTGGCATGCAAAGTAAAGAAGATGACAATCTTTTTTTTTTTTACTTATATATGGTTTGTCATTCTTGTTCATTACAAACTATATTTGCACAAAAAAACCACCACATTAAAGTTTCCCAACCAGTAAAAATCTCCAAGTCTATTTTAAAAAAGGAGCAATGCAGGATTTTGACCTTTTAAAGTTTGTTGTGTAATGTAGCAAAAAGAAGAGGAAAAATAAATCCTTTTATTCATTAATTTATCTTAGTTTGACGTTTAAAAAGGGCCCCCAAGAGGGAAATCTAATATAACCATATAGGCTGTATAAAAAGACATGGTAATGGCCTTTGGAAAATATGTTTATTTACACTTCTATTTGCTTCTTCTTCATCAATAGCTTGGTGCTACCTGATTTTTTGAACATGTTTGAAAAAAAAAATAAAAAGAAATACAGAGAACTAAGCATGCATAACTAATAGCAGTTGGCCTGCTCACTGCGTATGTTACCCAAAAACTGTGGAATAGTTAAGTGGAGTTGAAATTGCTTTTTCATTGGGGTTTGAAATTAAAAGTCAACCGGAAACAGCAGAAGTTTCTTCTGATACATGTTTCAGGTTTATCAGCTAAGACCTACGTAAAACATCTTTGGTATCAAAGATACTGACTTTTCCGGGATTTAAAACAAAGTCCTGGGAAGCATGTTTTGGTTTTTATGCTTTAAAGGTCTAAAATAAGCTTCCTGTACACTGCAAAACCGCTCCGATGCTGAGCTACTTTAAAACATGTTTAAAACTTTTTCATTTGTCCTTGCTTATTCCTATCTACTTTTATCTTGATGTTTTTTTTAAGCCTTTGGACCTTGTATGGGATCGACCTAAGTCAGTAAGAAGCTTCAACATGATGCTTCAGGTGTTATTAAACTGTAATATCTAAGGTGTTTTTTTAAGGAGTCACAGATCATTTATTTCTGGTAGATAAACACCTCAGTTAGTGCGCATGGCAAGTCTGAACCCTGCAATCTCTCTTATACATAGTGAAAGAGTGAAAGCTGCCCATACAGAAGAATAGCCAGACAAACAGCTTACCGGTACACCTTGGGAAATATCAGCACCTCTCATAAATTAAGAGGATTTGTGGCATTTTTTCAGGAATATCTGATTTTAACATGGCAAGCCTAATTCATAATATTTAGCACTCAGGTTTAGTTTTTCACATTATCAAGTTGGGCCTGATTTTAAATAACTGAAACAGTGTGAATTATCTTAAAAGTGAAAAAAACAAAAGTTTTGGACTAAATGTTTAAATGCTGGTAAACTAATCCAGAAGACCCCTTCAAGAAATGATAAAAATAATCATGTCAAGGGGATTAAGTGTTGTAGTGGATAGTGGGTTTTAATAATCATAAATATATATAAAAAAAATTGTAGTAACAGTTAATTTTTTTGTAAAAAAATATCTTTAACTAACATCTGGTTTTTTTCATTAGGTTGCCGTCAAAGCTATTAACTTTATTATTTTTTAAGCTAAAAGAGATAAACACTAACTATTTTAAACAAATACCTGGGACACAAAGTAAATAAAGTAATAGGTTATGCTATCTCATTTTCCTTTATTGTGTAAATAGCCTTTTTTACAGGTCTACCAATGATGTCCTCAACATTTCCATGGAAATGTCCTAGCAATGACCCGTTGAGAAAATGGCCTCCTTTCATGCCACACTATGCAGACACTCTACCAGCATTGATTAGTGTAATAAACATAACCTGACTATTCAGGGACATTCAGGTTCTCGTTATTGCCTCTGAAAATTCAGCTCAAAATGGTTTGGCAATGCACTAGTTTATTTATTTATACTGTGTTGCCATTTCTTTTAATTACATTTAAATGTATTAACAATACCAACATTTTTGAGAAATATAAACAATAATCAATAAAAAGCTTTTTTAAATAAAAAAAGTACTTAGATGATATAGGTGGAAGATATCCAAACCAGCCTGACTATATATAAAAATGTGTTGTCGTTGGAGAAGGAGCAAATAAAAAAATAGATTATTATACTTGTAATTTCCCTTTTTAAAAGGAGGACCATCCTTAATCTTTGCCCAAAGAATAAGAAGTAAGAACTGGGAGACAGAGTCTACATCAGCATAGCTTTTACCAGTTTTGGACAGTTCAAGAGGACGTGGAGCTTCAAAACAAATATAAAGGATGTAGTCTTTCTGCAGGGCACTTAATTTAATTAGATATAACAGCAAAGTTTATTTTGGCCTTATGTTCTAAACAGGGCAGTCTGCTCAAGCAATTAGTCCCACTAATTTATTTGTTAGTCTACACAGGACGAGCTCTGTTGCAACATTTGCCTATCAGTTGCTGTTATGCAGTAGAAAAATAACCCAAAACACACCAATAAATTCACCTTTTAATTATTCTGAACTAAATGGAAAAGTTAATACTTCAATCCTGTTACAGCATTTAAGTCAAAACAATGGTGGCAAACCTACGTATTGGTTTATGTGAGAAATTATCTTTAAACAAAATACAAAATATATTTGAATGGCTTCTTTTTTGATAAATGAAATCATTATAGGAACATTTTTAAATGAGACAATTTTCTTTGTCTCATCTAAACATCTGCTTTATGGTCTTAATTATGTAGTTTTTATTGTTTTTGTTTGTTTGTTTTGTTTTTTTCTTTTAAAGAAATTCTGTAAAACAAATAAATATCAAAATAAAAAAAAAAACTATTCAATTTAATGGTATGCTTTATAGACCACTTACATGTAGACCTGATTTGCCTTAAAGGAATAGTACACCCAAAACATGATTAGCCTTCATTTTCTACTCACCCCCATGCTGAACAACACTTTGAGTACTTTTTTGATATCTCAAATGCATCTGGAGATCTGGGAGGCTTCTTGCTGTCTGCTGACATTCAAATAATGGAGGTCTATTGTGCCCGAGACAGAAAGGCCCATAAAAGTCCACAAAAACGTGTCAATATTCCTCCATACTGCTCGTCCAATGTATTCCAAGTGTCCTGAGTGGGTAGCATCCAGAATTTACTCGAAACGAAGTCATTTAGAATGTTTTTAGAGCATAAACAGTAGTGTATAGTATTTCCTAAAAGCGCGTTCACGGCGCTACGGAAACCGTGGCAGACCAACCCAGACGAAAGTGCGCATTCAGCTCGGCAAAGAACTCCTGCTCTTCCTCAACACTGAAGTCCTCAGACATTTTTCTTTCGTTGTTTCTTTCTTTGCACAGGTAAACAGCACATTTCTTCTTCTACGCTTGCATTATCGGCAGAGCAGACGCTGAATGCGCACTTTCATCTGGTTTGGTCTGCCGGCTTCCGTAGCGTCCTGAACGCGCATGTGTGCGCTTTCAGGAAATACTATACACTACTGTTTATGCTCTAAAAACATTCTAAATGACTTCGTTTCGAGTAAATTCTGGATGCTACCCACTCAGCACACTTGGAATACATTGGACGAGCAGTATGGAGGAATATTGACATGTTTTTTGTGGACTTTTATGGACCTTTCTGTCTCGGGCACCGTAGACCTCCATTATTTGAATGTCATCAGACAGCAAGAAGCCTCCCAGATCTCCAGATGCATTTGAGATATCAAAAAAGTACTCCAGAGTGTTGTTCAGCATGGGGGTGAGTAGAAAATGAAGGCTAATCATGTTTTGGGTGTACTATTCCTTTAAGCTGGACATCAGCAATCTCTGGGTCACTACTAAGAACTATTTTGTTAGACTGGTGAAGATTCTCAGTCATCCAGGTCATTCTTAAAAAAGTTGGAAAACAATCCACTGGACTTTGTTTCCAAGTTTAAAGACGTTTCGCGTTCCATCCAGGAAGCATTTTCAATTCAAATGTCAGAAACAGTGTTGAGTTCGAGGCTCTTATACAGTAGCCCAAGAAAGCTTTTTGAAAACCTGCAAATTGAACACACAAATGAGCCCACCCCTTTGGAATGGGGGTCGTTTGGCTTCTTTTGTTAGCCTGCAATGCACCATACATGTCTATGTCCCTGAAAGGGGGTCCTTAAAGGTAATTGTTGGCCTGGCTTACTAGGCAATATCTTCTAGTCCCTTGTATAGGGGTTGGGCTTGTGGTGATAGCGCGAAGGGATTAACTCAATTGCTACCTTGTAGATTTTTGAAAGCTGAAATCTGAGTTCACCCCCTCTGTTTAAGGTTGGTTTTTCTTTCTTAACATAGATGCTTCCTTCATGTCCCTCTCAAACCACCTATTTTCCTTGTTCAAAATGTGAACATTTTGGTCCTCGAAAGAACGTCCTTTGTCCATAAGGTGTTCATGTACCTCTGGACAAGACACTGTAGTAGTCTCTTTAACGACCCCGTTTCAAAAACATAAATATATATGTGTGACATGATATATTTTGACATATGTATATATTTATATATGTCAAGACATATAATTCAACTTTATAGATCTCACATAAGAGAAATGTATCTCTGTATTTAACCCATCCCATTGGGGAGCAATTGGGATGAAGGGTTTTAAAAGCCACTGTATCAATGTAAATAAGCTGTGCTGGAGCAGGGAGAGCTCTAAAATCTGCAGGACAGCGGCTTTTGAGGACTGACTTTGGGCATGCCTACTTGAGTCCAGCCAACTGAGATCAGGAAATGGCCATGAGCCTCTGTGAAGAGATAAGATTTGTGCCAGATATTGTCTTT